GCTATTTTTAGGGTGTGAAGAATTTCACACATCTGGTATTTGGTAGACATGTTATTTACAATATTTAAAATAGGCTTACATTTAGGATATAGAATGCAGTTCACCATCTGAATGAGCCTGTAAAAACAATTTAATTAATACAATTTAAATTCCTAAAACACATTGAAATACAATTAGTTATTATTTTTTAAATTGGAGATTTGCAGCCTTAACAGTTATATGAGATGTTGGATTCATTTTGTTCTGAAATTGTCACTTTAAACAGATGTATGAAATGTTTTTGTGCCAGTTACATTTCTTTGAAAGTGATAAACCCACCTTAAAGAAATAGTTAAGGTCTGACCTCAGCCTTGACATTAGAGCTAACTAGATGGCAAGTTAAAAATTACCCTCACCCGAGTTATCAAAAGCAGCACAGAACAGAACCTGCTGCCCAATGGGCTGAAGAAAATGGAGATTTGTCAGGGTTTGCACCTTTGTGCAACAGAATAAAATCAGCAGAAGTAAGGAGATATTTGTGGTCAGCTGCTTAGATGTTGGAAATGCTGTGGGTAAAAACTGAAATAAAAAATTATATAAATTTATCAGAGGATAGTGAAATCATCTTTGGGCTCCTACACTGACAACAATAAGGCCTAGATCAAGCCATTTTAAATTCCTCTCCTGACAGCCTAACACTTGCTTGATAGGCACTGCTGATATTGTAGGAGTTGACTGGTGAGATTAAAAAAAGATATGCTATTAATCTTTTTTCTAAAAATGTGTTTACACAGCTCTACAAGGGTGTCAGCAGCTGTGGGGCTGGAGAGCGGAGGTCAGGCCCTCATTGCATATCAACAGCCAGTGACCTGTGCACTGCTGCATCAAACTGCGATTAGGTTACTGATACTTGCAACTTCTGTCTCTTTTCAAATCAAGTTCACTTGAAGGGTTACAGAATACAAAAGATGACATGAATCTTTATTAATCTTTGCTCATTACTACACCATCTGTCAAATGTTAAGAGGTTCATAGGGAACAATTTCCTTTAGTGCTAGTAGAGAGGTGGTTACGATGTTGTTTATAGTTTTAAGACACTTAGAAAAAAAGCCACCCCAATTATAATAATAATTGCAAAACATATGAAGAATTTATGAATTTGTATTTCAGAGGGTCCAAAAAAATCTTTATGCTTGTTCTAAAGAAATTCCCTCTGAAAGGGTGTATGACAGCTTCTGGGGATTATACTTTATTTCACACTGCTAACCCACATACAACACAGTTCAGTGCTCATGTTCTTCTGTGACTGAACTATGAAAAGTTGCTAGGCAAAGGAAGAAAGAGGCACAGTATGCGCACAGTTAACTGTGTGGGAGACGAGATATTTTTAAGCCAAGCCTGAAAACGTATGCCATTTGCAAACGTTTCACATAAAAAATCATTTCATTGTCACATTTGATGGAAGAAATATAAACTTAAAATAAAATGTTGTTTGTGACTGGAAAGTTGGGGAGGTTGGGAAAATAAACAAAAGATTAAGTTGTAAAATATTTTCTAAACATATAAGGATTGTAACTTCCCTCAACGTTTTCTCAGCCTGCACTTAAGCTTTGTTAACATTTTGGAAGGCAGTCCAACTTAATATACACACACACACAGAGGATAAGTGCAATCTTCTGAGGTTTCAGTAATAGCAGCTCTTCTATTCTGCTCTCTCCTGTATCTTTCACTCTGGTACCTGCACACCCTCTGTTTCAATAGCATCAGTGCTAGAAGTGGGGAGTCCCCACCATTAGCAATAAAGGAAACCCTAAGCCTGACTGTGTTTTTCCTGACATCTGTCACAATGTCAGTTCATATTTTCTTCAATTCAGCCACTTCCCTTCTACATGGGGTGACTGCTATCACCTTCATCAAACTGTTCTGACATTTACCTTTTTCCCCCCCAAGGATCATTACTGACAGATTTTGCAAGGCCATATTGGATGCTTGTTTTTTCTCCACTTATTCTCATGGAGATTTGATGCAATACATTTCCTATTAAAAAGTGATACCTGGCTGAGAACCAGCAAAGCCAGCTACTGACAATCCACCATGGTACTGTACATTCTGTTAAACATGGCCAAGGCCATCAGGCTCAACATGTTTTCAGCATGAAAGCCTGCTGAATGGGGCTGAAAAGCCCACGTCATACTACGAAACACGAGCCAATTAAACTGCTACACCATCTGCTCACAAGTTACCAAATGCTCTGAGATTTCAAAATAAGGCAGGTGTGTTCATTTGGCACCATGTATAACACGGATATTCAAACTACCATACTTTCTGATGCAATTCAACCTGGCCCCTACTGTGTTTTGTACTGTGAATCAAAAGGCTCCCAAAACCACCTCCATCACGTAATGTCAGGAGCTGGCCTCTAGTTGATCCACATTGGCTTAAACCCCGATTCGTATTGCACATTGCTTGCTGAATGGCCAGCAAAATAGTGCTGCTTCACCGTGAATCGAGCAGCATAAACATAGCAAGAATCGGTTCTAGGCTAGTTTAAATTCTGGAAAGAAAAATATTTTTAAAGTTTTATGAGATGTCCCAATTTTTAAAAATGAAACATTTTTCAGAATATGGTGAATGTATGTCATTCAAAATAATAATAAAATATTTCTAATACATATATACCAACATTAACTAATAACTTGTAAGAACTATAACTAATCTAGTAAATCACAACATTTCCACATGAAAACAGAACAGCGAACACAAGACAATGAGCTGTGAGATAACCCAAAAAAGTTGCATATAGATATAACATTTCCCATATGATGAAGTTTGATCACTTCACAATGAGTAGGGAAAGGGGTAGGAAGAAGAAGGGGATATCCTTATCCCAAATCAGAGGGATTAAGGTAACGAGTTCCACAGGTTAAGCACGTAATAACTGACAGAAATGAAACAATGTCATTAGTGCCACAAAAAAAATCATATTCCATCTGTTCATGCACTCATTTAAAAAATGATCTTGTAAAACTGTTTAATAATAATCATAATCCTTGATTTTGATATAGCACCTTATCACGTCTTTGAGACGTCTCAAAGCGCTTCACAGAATATACTGTAAAGTGAATTGACTGTATATTTTGTGGGCGAAACGCGGCAGCCAATTGCGCACAGCAGTGTCCCACAAACAGTCGTGGATTGAGTGATCAATTTTATTATTATTTTTATTGTTTTTAAGGAATTATTATCCCCGGAAAAGTGATCCACCAATCGACTAACAACCAGGTTCCTACTTACTGCTGTTTAGGTAAAAATTTACATTTACACAGCACCTTTCACTTTGGGAAAACATCCCAAGCAATTTAACATCCTGGGCTTAGCACCTGAATTGTGGTGGAAGTCAAGGTGAGTGGGGAGATGAAACTTGACTGAAAGCAAGGTCCAGGAGGAAGGTCTTGAAATGGACCCTGAAGAAGGGAGCAAGCTGAGAGGGACTCTGGGATGGAGTTCCAAAGAGTGGGGGCAGAAAGAATGAAAGTTCATCCACTAATAATCTTGTAGTAATAACAAAGATTAATAAACATTCATTTTATCCTTTGTATTCTGTAAACAGATTGAAAGTAAAATAAAGAGAAGGGTTAAATGGTGCCCGATGTGACTTGTGCTTTGGTTGCAGACCAGCTGGAGGGGAGTAATAATGCTACATTGTGTGAGGCAGGTCCTGAATGTTAACACTTTGAAGACTTTCTTCTAATAACTTTCCAAAGGAAAGAATCCTAGTAATGATGTGATGCAATTCCCATTAAGTAATTCATGGAGGTGACCTGACCACGTAATGGTATATAGTAAGTTATTTTCTCATCATAAATCAAAACCTAATAGCAGGGAGCCCTAACTGGCAACACTACTACTAGACTCTTGCAGCTTGCCTTCACGGCTTCCTCAAAACCAACATTAATAACTCATTTTCATCAATGTGGAAATTGAAAAAAACTTCTACAAAGCTGATAGATAGGCCAGTCTGGTGTGTGTCAAGGACAAAAGAAATCAGTCCCAACCAACAGAACAAAATTCTCTGTGTGAACTCACTTGGTACGTTCCTGAGTGCCTGTACAAGATCAGGAACTCATCATAGGAGACGTCAAGGCTGTGAACACCAATTTTAAAACACCTGTATCCACTTTATCATTCGCCATTCCTTTTTTAAACCACATATAGGATTCCACAATCACAATATATAAGTACATTGGAAAAGTGATTTTGAGGAACAATACCAATGATGAATCAATGCATAAGCATTCAATTTCTGTTTTGTTCTAAATACGTTTCACTTTGTTAGGCATCCAGGCACCTTCTAGGATAATTTCAGGTATAGATAAATGAAACAACAATTTTCTTTTATTTAAAGATTTAAATAATTTATTGTTGCAATTTTACCTCAACGGCATTTTACCCTGAATTATACTAATAATCCTAGCATTGACTGCATTTGAAGTATTTGCTATTTAAATAACTTTTGATAAGTCTGTCAGATGAACGTGTAATGCAGAGGGCAAATGTGAGATGGGATTTAAAGTTCAGATTTTACAGGAGACTTTTTAAATAAAAGGATAATTCTACACATAAAGGGTTTCTCTAAAAGCATGTGGTAAAGTGGTTGGTTGGGGGGAAGGGAAGGAAGAAGAAAGCATTTTGAGACATGAATATTTAAAATGTGGAAATTGACCCAGCTGATTGCTTAAACACAGAAGCAGGCATAAATATTAAACAACTGCCTTACATACAATACCAGATAAATTCAAATGGGCCTGATCCATACTTATTCAGTTTTACTTTGCATATATGACATTTATATTAAATACGTTAGATGAATGTAGAAAAACAGAATTCTCAAATAGATACAGCAATAAAAAAGACCTGGAGTTTATAGCCCCATTTTGTACAGGAGCCTTGCTGTGTCATGCCCCCTTGTCAATTGTAAATAGAATGCAAACCAGCATCATTATGCATTTAATGTCTTGTACCTGCGGCAGCTGCCCGTGTGTGCTTGTCCCTCGTCCAAATTCCAAGCTGGTCTTCTCCTGTTCCCGCTCACTCACTGTTTCTCCTGTAACCAAATCAAATTATAATCGGATGACCAGTGACAGTAATATTCTGTTGCTTATTTTGGCAGAACGCATATTTTAGTGAAATCTACAGAGCAATTTATCTCAATAAATAACATAAAGTACAGTAATGAAAAAAACACATACTGACGTTAAACCACATAAACAGCCATATTTATTCACTCAGTGCACAACTAGATCTTCTAAATAGGATTTTCATCAGCAAATATGTGCCAGTAATGCAGGGCCCTCGTGCTTCTGACCACAATATTACAAATTAAGGTGAACATTTTGCACAGTGAACTAAATAGTAAATCACATATTGAAACAATACTAATTTTGAATATGGTATCATCGATATTGTAAACAGAAACAGCCATTTTATAAAGCTAAAACAATGTTTAGCATTAAGTTGTTGGTTAATCATCTCTGAGTTACAACTAAATTTGGACATGGCAATTGACAATGGTGGAGACTGAGACTTCAAAATAATCAATCTTTTTGATAGATTCTTTTGTGTTCAACTTGAACTTGAGGAGTTGTAGTTCATTAAATTTAAATGTGGGCATTCTGTGGAATCTAGGGCAGTTCCAAACTAATATGTTTCCCCTAACCCTGCTGGTTATAGCTGATGGGAACTTCTGAGGGAACTGTGTTCAAATTTCACAAGGAGCTCAGAGAAGATGCAACAAGTGAATAAGAATAGGCCTGACATACCACCGACGTACCACTGAAGTTTCCAACTTCCTCGTTCTGTGGTCAGACACATGAATATAAAGTCAAATATTTTCTTTTTTGTTATTGCTGTGGGAGCTGTCTGAATTTGTTATGACCTCACTGGAATAACGCCAGCACACATGATTCAGTTGGTATTTTTTTTTCAGATGATTGATTTATTGAGCTTGAATTTACAGAACACTGAAAACTATAATTTTTTAAAAAAGAATTATGCTGCTGAAAATTACTATAAAGCGCAAACATGGGCAGCTCAGTATGTTGGAGCCCTAACATACTGCACCTTGATGTCGTAGATTATAATAATACTTGCATTTGATATAGCGCCTTATCACACCAGCCAACTGCACACAGCAGTGTCCCACAAACAGCCGTAGATTCAGTGACCAATTTTTTTGGGAGGGATTATTGTCCTCGGAAAGCGATCCGCCCCAATCGACTTACTGCTAGGTAAACAGAGGATTGTGAAATAAGGAAACTTGCCTCAGGCTTTGCCTTACCCAGGATTCAGACCCAGGTCCTCTCGCTTGTGAGGCGAGTGCTCTAACCAATACGCTACAGGACTCTACAAGTCCTCTACAGGAATCTTAAAGGGAAAAAAATGAAAAAAAATAAAAATGTGCTCATTCATGGAAGCAACTTAAACATTCGTTGTAGCTGAAAACTTAAATCTTGACCCACAATGCATTTACTGTATGCAGGTTTGGGTGACAAAGTAACATGACATTTCATAGGTCCTACACTATAGAACACTGTGTAGTAAACCTTAAATGAAGCAACCAGCTTTGATTATCAAAATGTTGAGACACTTAGAAACAAGCGGAACAACACCTCTACTATTCACCAACTTTCCTCACTTTTTAATGGAGTCATGTAGTTCAGATGCTAGTTTTATAATTTATGAGGTCTATATATGGTAAAAATATATAAAAGTTGGATTAATAATTACATTTCTCTTCTCTCATTGCAGTAATAAAGGCTTATGCAAAATAATGAGTATACCACACATTAGTATCAATAAAATAACAGGCATACCAAACATTAGTATCAATAAAACTACAGAAGCACATTCCGACCTTGGCAAAAGCAGGAGGTAAAACATACAACGTATTTGGATCATCTGGCCTTCTTTTTCCAGTGGAATGAGGCAGGAGTTGCCACTGGATAGAATGACTTTTAAGAAGGATAAAACATACTGCAGTAAAAGCAAATATCATTGTAAAATGAGCAGCTACACCAGGAATAGCTAATCTGTAAAAGGAGGCCTCATGTGGATAGGCCTACTGCAATCCAACCGTACTCCAAAGAACATCTAAAGGGTTTTTCCACCTATATTACACCATTAGTCTTGAAATACCAAGAAGGATTCTGGTTGAACTAAGGTTCGGAAGTGCCAAAACAAAATCCTGATAAATACATGGATTACGCTTATTTTGCACAAAGTATTTGCTTAAACTGCAAGCAATATACAGATACTTCTCCATTGCAAAAGACTTTAAAAATATCAGAGTGGTGATGAACAACGTTCAACAATAGGGCTGATATTACACTGGTCAACGTTCAGACTTTGATGATGTGTGCCCACTTGATGATGTGCAGGTATAATGGAAAACGGTTGTAAGCGCACAAACTATTACATTTAATGACAAGCAAAGTATCTTGCCCAATGGCTCTAGATACAAACAAAAGGTATATAACAGCAATAGAATACACAAGTTAATAGATTATAAAGGTCTTCCTTGCAAGTTTTGTAAATTTCACTCCTGTTTATTCTATTTATATAAAATGTGTGAAGAAACAATTTTGGATCAAGATAACTTTAAAATATTTCGTCTGTTATGTTTTTTTCTCCTCCTTTCAGGTTTGCTCCACCATGTACCAAACACTGACTGAGTGAACACCTGAACAACATGCCTCTGTCCTCACACTTCTTATGGCTTCCCCCCAGCAAACGTAGGAGAATGGCCCAATGTGGCTCTGCTTAGCATTTCCAAAATGGCAAATTCATGTGGGGATTGCAGGCCTACACTCACTATTACCACTATTTTGTTAGGTCCAAGATAATTAAAGGTACATTTAATACTGTACTTCCTATTTTGCCAGGTTCCAACCACCAGTCAGTTTTCTTGTATGGAATCCCTTGTAATTTTACCAAAATAAAGCTTAAATGGGTTTGACACAGACATGAAAACAGCTTATCTGCCCACTAATGTAGGTGACCTGAAAAAGACTAATGTTGAGAAAATTGAGAAAAAAGAAAGCATTTTAAAACAATCTCCAAATCGCAAGATCCTGGTTACAAAAATAGCAAACAAAAAACAAACACTCCTCCTTCCCCTATGTGCCCTGAAAAAACACAATCATCTGATTTGTTTTAAAAACATATTTGGAAAGAGATATTTTGTTTTGCCCTGGATGTGAAGCTACATAATGTACAGTTTTGCAATCAGGATACTCCTTTATATTCAGAGATTTACAACTACTTAACTTTTGTTTGGCTTTGTTCATTTTGGTACAATCTGGTAATAATTTTATTTGATCAGTGACTGCTGATGACTTTAATGAGCCACTACCTTGAAAGTTTTACATGGCTTGACATATGAGAGAGTTGAAGATAGATATCTGATGCTAAACCACTTGAGTTAATGCTCTCACTAATGTTATTTCACCTCTCTCGTTCTATTGCTTGGTAACTCCTTGTGCCAAGGATGAGATCACCTCGCTGCTCAAATGAAAATAGTTTTTCAAAAATACACAGCAAAGGTAATGGACAAAGCAAAAAGGGTAATTAATCTTAATTCTTTATAATCTAAATAGATTCTTATGGAGTAGTATGATGGAGCAACATGCAGATAGCATCCCAGGCATGTGGCACATGTTCAAACCTCTACTCCCCTGAGTTCCTAATAGGAGGTGCCATGCCCTGCTCTACTTTGAGCAAACAACAAGCAGAGGCCAGGCAAGAGAGAAGGGAATTGAAATGGGACAAGAAGAAGCTTTCATTCGGCAATTCCTTTATGCTTCCTTGTAGCAAGTTAACACCTGTGGTCGTTTGAGAGCATTTAAAAAATGAACAGCTATAGATAGCAATTGTAGGATAAGACACCAGAAAGTACTTATTTACATAGAGGGCATTCAACAGCAGGAACGGATTACAAGGAAAAGTGGTTGCGGCTTGGACAGTATAGTCATTTAAAATTAATAATTTCAAACCAATTTTTATTGTTAGTTTCTATGTCTATGGTCCTGAAAACTGCTTTGATTCAATGTAGAAGATGGGCAGGCAGACCTCAATGGTCATTTCCAGTCCCATTTCCCATTATACATTTTAGAATTTTGAAAGAACAACCAAAAATACTTAATAATAATAATCCTTGCATTTGATAAGTCACTTAATTAAACTTGCTTTGTCCACTCATAACTACAACATGCATTTATGTAGCACCCTCACACAGCGCAGCGTCATATGCACTATTAAATGGTACAGGAAGCCCAGAGATTACTTATGTGGTGTCATTTTTCAAAAAATCCACCATTTATGAATTAAGTGATGTACATTGTAGAAATACAGCAAATCCTGAGGAGGAAACACCCAGACTGTAAGAATATTTAGCATGTCAAGTTGCCCAATCATCCATTTCCGTTGCCAGAATTAGGTTTTTTTCACAAATGGATCAGCTGCCAAATCAAGATACATATCGCTGTGTCTACATTGGCAGCAATAATTGGTGGTTTAGATGATATAAACATTCAGAAACTATAAAATATGCTCAGTTTGATATGGAATACTATATAAACTAAAAATTAAGGACAGTTCTGGAGACTGCATTGTGCTTATTCATGCATCAAATACAGCAAATGGAGAATTTTATTCCAGTTTCAATTTGGTGATCAATCTCGCTTTGACTCAGATCATTCTTTTGAGTAGAAAACAAACATTTGTGATAAATGGGAAAGAAGACAGATTAAAAACTTGAGTCTTGGCATGTCAGATATACAAGCAATACATAACCGGTCTCATTAGTCACTTCTTCCACACATAAATGGAAATAAATGGAAACGTACATGGAAATAAAGTCTAGAATTGAAACTACCATACACCTTACTTCCCATTATAGGGGACATTAAATTCAAAATGTATATTTGTATTCAGAATTGTTTTTACCTGACCAGCAAGGGGGAGGGCTCTAACCACAAAGCTACAGGAGTCCTATATCTTTGTGGTAGAGCATTCGCCTCGCAAGAGAGAGGACCTGGGTTTGATTCC